AAAAACAAGAAATAGATTAAAGAAGACCTATCTTTTATTTTTACTTTTTTCCCCTTTATGTAAATTCAAGAATAATATTAATTTTTAAGGTAGTTGGATTAAAAAAAAACATTCTAATATTAATACTGAAAAATTTCTTGTTGTAACTTTAGAAGAAAATTATGAGTGAGGTACAATTAATGCCTTGGGAATAATTATCTAGCCTGCTGAAGAAAATTTAGTAGGCCTATCTTTATCCGTCATTTTAATATTAATGAAAAACTTTGTCTGCAACTGCTGTTTGTTTTGAAGCTAAGGTCAAGCCTTCATGATACATGTATTTGCATTCATTGAAGACTGGCATTTTATATACCATAGAGCTTTAGTCTCGACAAAGACTTCTGGTTTAAGGTGTAAGAATACACCATGGCTTACCGAAAATCTTCCTCTAGTAACTCTGCATAATTTGAAAACAATATATGTATACCGATAACACTAACACAAACTTCATTATTGTTTATATATACATTCAATGTTAGGTTGTTCTTTACTGCCTAATGGAAATATACAAGGATATTATTTACAGGTTTTTGGATATTCAGGAATTATGTTGAAAATAAGAATACAGTTGCTGTTGCCTATTTCTTCATATATTTTTTAATCATTCCATAAGCTGCATCCATGATAATTCAACCCCATGGCGGGGCCCTTGCTGACTGGTCAGTTTTCTAGTTTGTATTCTTTTGACTTTTATCAGTCATTTTCCTTACAGGTGTGGAGGAAGCATTTTGTACATCATCCAAGGTGATGACAGTCTCAGTTCACAAACATTCCCCGGGATTCTTCCCAGGTTTGTTTTACATGTATTATATTGCCTTAAAACACCTGCTAAGTCAGAAGTTTATAGGAATGCTCAAGTTTCTTTTTCATATGTAGCAGTATTCAATAAATACACTGTACTTGATTTTAAACTGTGATTTAAATTCTATATGAGTAGATTCTACAAAAAATATTCTTATAACACCAATGTATTATTTAACACCTGTATAGGATCTGGAGGGTTAAATGACACTGGAGTGGGTAAAGGGAAGGGATTCACTGTTAACATTCCACTACTGGATGGCGTGAGAGATGAGGAGTTTGTTCCCTTGGTCTGCAGGTAAGGAGCTTTACCTAACTCTGAAATAACTTTTGTATCATGGTAGTATACTGAACAGTGCGTATGGTAGGTTTATCTTATCATCTTGTACAAGACCAAGCTAAAAGGCAACTTACATGTAAGACATATCTATATAAATGCTCTGTAGTAATCAAAATGATTCCACATGTTATATAAAGTTGATGTTAGGTTGGTGGATTTACATATCCCTCTTACGCCCTGCAGCGTGCAGTTATTCAAATTTTAAAAACATAAATTGAAAAGAAATCTAGTTTTTTGTTTCCCAGAGTCCTCCACAAGGTCCATGAAGTGTTTGTACCCCAGGCCGTGGTGTGTCAGTGTGGGGCTGACGGACTCAGTGGTGACCCTATGGACTCCTTTAATCTCACTCACACGGCGTACGGTCGATGTTTACAGTTCCTTCTACAGTGGAAGCTGCCTACACTGGTGTTAGGAGGAGGTGAGAATGGATACACAGTGCTTGCAATGAACACTGGAAAACATAGTTTATAGATACAGCAGAACTTGAACAGGGATATCTTAAATACCATTGGTGTGTCAAAGTGATTTTGGAAATATCAATATTTTTAAGAATTCTATTCTCAGTATCTCAAAATGACAGATAGCTCAGAATTTCTTCTCGGTTAGTCTTCACAGTATCATTAAGGGAAAATCAGGTTGCACTTTGAGAATGAAAACACAAGATAAATGCAAAATATCTTTGTATCATTATTCCGTCTTATGCAATTGTTTTTCAATCCAAGACAAAAAAAATCAAATTTTCACTTTCCTTGTCAGGAATTTAAGACATTTTCTTATTTTAGGTTATCTTGTTGAAATGAAAATTGTAAACTCCGAAACTTAATTCTAGAATGGTAATTTTCAGTAGGACCAGTTATGGTTTTCAAGTAAAGACAAAAATACACCATCACTATTATAATATATTTGAAATGTTTTAGGAGGTTACCACAATGCTAACACAGCCAGATGTTGGGCCCATCTAACTGCAGTCATTTGTGGGCGGAAACTTCCTCATGAAATCCCAGATCATAAAGTAAGGTTTGACTCTGCTACTGTACTGAAACATGTTTTCAGTTGATATGTTGAATTTTTTTGCATAAGTTTATTTTTTGAAACAAAAAGAAACAGCTGAAAATTTAAGTAGATTGTTAAGTGGACAAAATTGTTTCAGCACAAACTGTGTAAACAGATTAAGTAGATTTTTTCATCAAAGAAATGGAAATTTCAACCATATATATCATGAGAAGATATCAAGCTATGTTATTTTATTTAAAATAAAGAATGTTGCTCACCATAGTTTTTTTTTTCTTTCAAAATTTAAACATTTATAAAATGGAAAATGTGACTTTTTGTTTCCAATATTTGTCATTATAAAAGTAGTGATACATAGGTAATTCAGTAAGTCCTAAAATTATCTTCATCTCAAATGTGAATTGGTTGTTTAACTGTGTGTATTGGGTAAATATAATGAATGTATAGTATGAGTTTGGACTGTATAGGATCACAATTTATTTAAACAGTCAACCAAAATATATATTTAAGAAATAAACAACATAAGCCTCGTCGGATAGAAATCGACCTTATGGCAAAATTTATCGAATTTGAGATCCATGTAAAACCATTACAAAAACTGAAAACGGAATCAAAATATCTTCATTTATAACAAAGTTATTACATTTTGAAATTGGTATGTTTGCAAAATTAACTCTGAGCATATCAGTAAGTATGCATGCCTAATTTTTTGACGATTAATGGAAGTCAGATGATTTTTCTAATTTTTTTTTTTGTTCTTTATAGCATATAGTTTATCATCATCGGAAACTCAAGGTTGCATTACTCACCGTGTGATAAGTAAAGACGAGATCTCTCGTGGATTTCCGACGATGATAGTTTATTTGTAACGCAACATTCTAATGCATTTGAAAAAGAGATTTTACATAACGTTTACAAAATATTTTTATCAACAGAAAAAAAAATGAAGGGATATCAATATTCAGAATTTCAGAAATGCAAAAATTATAATTTCTTAGTTACCTGGAGTATTAGAAATGCATTGAGGGAAAGAAAAAGAAAAACACAGGCTATGTTGAATAATTACGATATAAAACCAAGTCCCAGAACATTTTCTTTCTTTTACGATTCAATTAACTGCAAACGAACAAAATGTTAAAATGAGAATTGATTACGTATAGACTTTATTTAGAATCTCTTAATAATTATTTTATTAGGAAATATAGTTAAACCAATTTTTAAAAAAATAAATAATGCTATGAATTAGATAGTCGGATTCAGCTTGGGTGCGTTGTTTTATAAAATAATTTATATCTTATATCTATACCCCCCCCCCCCCCCCCAAAAAAAAAAAAACATTAACACTCCTTGAGAGATAAATAATATGTATGAAGGCACTCGGCATACGCATCGACAAGATTCTGCTATCCCGTTCCTATCTCAGTCCAACACAGCATTTCTAAAATTATAGACATTTCATTATTATTTGTTTTATGATTTTTTAAATAATGAAATTTATAATTAAGTTATCTGTTGTGGGTATTCATCCTCTCTTTAATAAAAGAGAACTGTAGAAGTATTTTATAATATAGAGAACTTTTTGATGTCATAATTGAAAGTCTTAGTACAAAGCGAAACCATATTCCTTTTATTCACGAACAGGTGAAATCCTGCTCAAGATGACTTTTGCAGAAAAATTTGGTATTAACGGCATTCAAAATACTTAACATTATGCTGAATATTTAAGAACACTTGCACAAAACTATTTTTTTTTTTTACATCCGACTTTAGAGTAATTTTTTTGGTTTTCAACTCTTTAAAATATTAATGACGTAGAAGGATATGTTTTACAAACTGGGCCACCTTTTTACATTTTCGCCCGGCAATTGAATTTAGTTTAAAAAAATTTAAAATCATAGATAATCCATCGTCGGTATTTTTTATATATTGCAAAATAAGGAATTAAATATTTTAGAAAATTAACTTAAAAATCTGGTAATGGAAGAGAGACAAAAGTTAAGATAGAGAGGAAAAAAACATCTTTTTTTACGTAATACGCATGTAATTCCCCACGTTGAACCTCTTTTTGCATCAAAGGGAAGCAACTTGCACAATTTATCGTATCCAGTCGCTTCGGACATTAAGTGGTTCTGTTTGAGAATTAATGATATATGAAGAAATGGCCTTACACAATACCAGTATTACTTGTTTCTTGATATGTCTTAATATTGTAGTTAGAAAAATGCGTTTTAAAAGTTGTTGAATCGTGGCCTTTGTACATTTTGTACTGAATGGATATACAGTATGCCTATTGTTTTGTTTTGGTTGGATGGTTAATTTCTGTGATAAATTTGAAAATACACGTAAATGCATTCAAAGACATGAAACATCACGATTATAGTATATCTAATATAATATTGCGAATTTAATCCTGAATGAATGAATACACGTGTGCTCGATGATAGTAAATTTTTGAAGTTCACACACTCGACTATTACTGCATTAGTACAAGTGCGATTTTCTGTGCCAGATTTCGTCTCCTCTGGCTAAAATTTATGCTCTAAACTACAATAAAAAATATATCCTGTACTTCCTCAGTAATGCACCATGACATTATTTCTTTGCTATATGTCTACCAATTTATTATTTATCTGGTGTTAGATATGGCCTTACGTCTTCTGCTGCTAAAAAAAAGTGTTGATCGGACTCGGCATTCCTCTGGCCTGTGTTTACATTGATCCATGGTAACAATAAAAAAATAAGGTTCTACGGAGGGGAATACGAAAAAATAAAATACGATTTAACACTATGATGAATATTGATAATGCTTTTATAATGATTATTACTCCAGAATGCTTTTCTATTTTTATTAGATCTTCTATTTATTTTTAATAGCTGATATTATTCCTGAAGTCGATATACTAGTTATAACTAGTATTCTTAATGTTATTACCCAAGTGTGAAGAGTTATCGTTCTTTAAACAAATATGCATGATACAAAAAATAAAAATATGGCAGTTTTCTACGATTTTTAAAAAGTTTTATTATAAAATTAAATACATTGACCAAAATTAAATTTTTAAAGAAGTAAATCAGCAATTTTTATTATTCTGAATTTCTTTTTTTCTCAAAGAATATCATTAAAAACTTGTTTTTATTCCTTTTACGAAAAGTTTCATTAATATACTTCTCGACACACTCTACTACTTTAGTAGAGATTGTTCTGTAGGACTTTGTTAGAGCAATTGCTTTCATAGCAGAAGCAATTGCATCTATAGGCCTATAAATGCAATTGATGACTACATGTTCATAGTGGGTGAGAGTAGTGGATATGCAAATATTTATCATTTATCTAGTACATTTAAATGTAAGAGACTTAGAATTCTTCATTTCTCTTATTTCAGTACTTTATGGCATATGGTCCGGATTATGAACTACCCATATCCCCTGGAAACAGAAAGAATATGAACACTAAAGAATCTCTACAAAAAATATACAACACTGTTTTAAGTAATTTTGTACAATAAAAAGGTTCTCTACAGAAAATATACAACACTGTTATAGGTAATTTTATACAATAAAAAGATTCTACAGAAAATACACAACACTGTTTTAGGTAATTTTATACAATAAAAAGATTCTCTACAGAAAATATACAACACTGTTTTAAGTAATTTTATACAATAAAAAGGTTCTGTACAGAAAATATACAACACTGTTATAGGTAATTTTATACAATAAAAAGATTCTCTACAGAAAATACACAACACTGTTTTAGGTAATTTTATACAATAAAAAGATTCTCTACAGAAAATATACATCACTGTTATAGGTAATTTTGTACAATAAAAAGATTCTCTACAGAAAATATACAACACTGTTATAGGTAATTTTTTTTACAATAAAAAGATTCTCTACAGAAAATATACAGCACTGTTATAACTAAGTTTATAATACTAAGGATTATCTACACAAAATATATATACAGCTATATAATAGGTAAGTCTTAAGAAAATATACAGTCATTATTGGAAGGATTTGACATGTTTCGATATTTTACCGTAAGCGGTTATGTAAATTTATTCTGCAATAGCTTCCACCACTAGTTCCAGTAATAACAAACAAAGAAAGCCATTTTATTTTTATATTTATATCCGTTTAAGTAATCATTTAAAGTAGGATTAAAAAGATTAATTATTGTATTAATGATGCGAACGTCTTTATACATTTCATTGATGGAACAGCCACTGATCAAGAAATCTGTACAGGCGAAATGCCTAATGTAGTTCATGCAGTGATTAACGCAATGGGTTTTGTTAAGAAATAAAGGAGACATAATTCAGTGTAAATATTTAAGTACTTATGTTTGTAAAATTATTTTTGATTTAGGAATTAACAAGTCACATTGCATAATTCATCAACAAAAGAGAATTATCATGTTTTTTTCTCTCTTTTACAGAAAATCTAAAACAGCTGAAAGGCTCCTGATATTTGCGGGGATATAATTCGTTAGTGTGATTCAGGAAAAAAAAAGTCATTTCTGTTTGATAGAAACTAGCTTTGATGTGATATATGATGTGATCATAAGAAATATTTATGTCAAATTTTTATTGTACAATGTGGATAGTATACGAAAGAAACAGATCTGTGAATTGGGAATATGTTCATTCATGTTAACAATGTTGTTGGTATCTTACATTAAATGTAATGTTATATTTTGCATTTTCTTGTTATCAGATGATTTCAGACAATAAGTTCCATCAGGCCTCTAGGAGTTTATAGAGCTAACATTTATGTGATTGATATCTTATTTTTCAAATTATAATAAAACACTAGAAAGTCTGCTATTTCAAGCAATAGCGTATGTCGCCCAGAACTGGACAAGACTTTCATCTTTTGTATCAGTAAAACAATACATATTAGATAATCTTGGACAACCATCAATTCGTATAAGTCCTTTCAGTACTTTAACCATCAATTCGTATCAGTCCCTAAAGTACTTTCAGTACCTTGATTTACAAGTCAAATGTAAAGAATTTTCACTTTCCCTTGTTTTTTTTGAAAATTTTAAATCCGAATCGCACAACTACAGATACTAATCATTAAAGTAGAAAAAAGTTTATGGCGAACATTTAAGGGACCAGAGAGAACACTCGCGGAAAAAATTCGTCACTTTTTACAGGTTTCCATGGCAACAGTAGAACTGAATGACCTCCCTGCACAACCAGTGATCGTCATTTGAGGAAAGTTTCAGGAAGATTGTCCCAGCTATCTCCGAGAAACAGCCTGGATAAAAAAAACATGCGTACAATCGCAATATGACGTCCCCGACTTCGTTCGGGGCGACATAAAAAACATAATCAACTTGCAATTTTTGGATATTTTTAAAATAAAAAAAGCAATCTGCGTTCAAATAGCTAAAACACTACTTGAAGCTGTCGGGTTATTCTAGCTACGTAATAATATATTGTAAACATATTATATCAATTATAAATAAAAAAAAAACTTTAAGAAATGCGCTAAATCAAATCTACTCTCATTTGTTCAAAAATCAATTTTCACCAAACAAAGTAACTTGTTACTGGTTCCCTCACAGGATCTGTTACTGAAAGTTTTCAGAAATTAACAACACTATATAGTGTTTTCACATTCCTGTCACTTGAAAAAGTTTTTTGCTTCTGAGTGGGATTGATCAGCACCTTTGCGTTTTCAAATATTTGTATAACGACATTTAAAAGGGTTGTAATGATACTTCTACCTTGTATCGGGGAATATTATGACATACTGGGATAATATTTAAACATGTTGAATATTTCACCATTTTTAGCTCTACTGGTCAAAGACCAGAAGAGCTTATGCGATAGTAATGCGTCCCCCGTCCGTCTGTCTGTCTAGCTGTCCGTCTGTCTGTCTGTAAACAATTTTTCAAAATGCTACTCCTCCTACAGTTTTGGTCTGATTTCAATATAACTTTGGCACACAAGTAGACTATACTAAGATACATAATTCTGTGTATCGGTTTTTGATTTCGATGAACCGTGTTGCCGTGGTTACTAAAAATAGAAATTTCTGTGAAATTCTTTCAAAATGCTACTCCTCCTACAGTTTTAGTCTGATTTCAGTATAACTTGGCACACAAGTAGACTACACTAAGATACATAATTCTGTTTATCGGTTTTTGATGTCGATGAACGGTGTTGCCGTGGTTACTAAAAATAGAAATTTCTGTGAAATTCTTTCAAAATGCTACTCCTCCTACAGTTTTGGTCTGATTTCAGTATAACTTGGCACACAAGTAGACTACACTAAGATACATAATTCTATATACTGTAAATCACTATTTATTCGCGAGAACTTTATTTTCGCGTAATTATGCGAGACAATATGCTCGCGAAAATTTCTCTCTCGCGTTGAATAGTATTCCTTAAGATTATTAAGAGCAATGACCATAATTCGTGAAAATTTTGTCTCGCTAATAAAGAGTCAATGACTATCTCGCGAAAATTAGGTGTCGCGAAAATTAAGTGATCTACAGTATTGGTTTTTGATTTCGATGAACGATGTTGCCGTGGTTACTAAAAATAGAAATTTCTGTGAAATTCTTTCAAAATGCTACTCCTCCTACAGTTTTTGTCTGATTTCAATATAACTTGGCACACAAGTAGACTACACTAAGATACATAATTCTGTGTATCGGTTTTTGATTTCGATGAACGGTGTTGCCATGGTTACTAAAAATAGAAATTTCTGTTAAATTATTTCAAAATGTTACTCCAAATACAGTTTTAGTTTGATTATAATATAATGTGGCACACAAGTAGACTACACTAAGAACATAAAGAGACTTATTCAAGGATCATTATTGTATTTATTGCTGTTGAAAAGTTTCAATTCCCAACTGCTTTTAAGTACTTTTCTCTTCCTTTGCTATAATTACAAACCAGTAGAGCTTCAGTCTCGACAGAGGCTTCTGGTTATTTTTTTGTTTTGTTATGTTTTTGTTTTGAGATGAGGAATTCTGTAGCAAAATGAGAAAGGATATTAGGAGAATCACTTTGATGAAGAAGAGTTAAAAAAAAAAAACTAGAGGTACTTTGAGCAAAGAGCTCACTAAATGATACCCCCCGCCTCCCATATGAATAAAACGGCAGTATCCATGTTTTGCTCTGGAAAATCCAAAATATATGTCAGATCAAAAAATAAAATAAAAGGTGCACAATGGCAATATGTAATAAATATTCTGTTAAAGTTTCATTAAATTTCCTTCAGTGGTATGAGATCTTGAGGAGTTGCGGATAAGAGATCGGTACCCCAAAGCGTAACAGACGGATGTACAGACGGACGGACGGAAATACCGATTTCTATACACCCTTCCGCTTTTCAAGCGGGGGGTATAATAATTAAAATGGGTTGAAATACAGTCCGAACTTCTTATTTCAATCTCCATGGGAAACCCCCTCCCCCCCCCCCCCCCCCCCCCCCAAAAAAAAAAAAAATATATGACCAAACAACAAAAACAGATATCCAAGAATTCATATTATATTGGTTGTGGGTGTGTCAAGATTATTTCAAGAAAAAGTGGTTTGGACTTTCAAATTGCATTAATTTATTTACAGCCAAGAATTGAAACGACGCTGTGGTATAATGGCTAAAATCATCAGTATAGGGTAAAGAAAGTGTTTTCTTTAATTTATCAAGCTCATATGCAAATGATTAATATGCAGATCTGCCTGATTTATCAACTGACAGACTACCCTCTTTTTCCTCGGGCGAGTATGGTTCACAGTTTAATTGAAGCTTATGGATTACTTCAGTTTATACAGTATGTCACTCATAACAAACTTAAAAGCATGTCAGTTTAGACAGTTGAGATTCCCAAAACAATTAGAATGTTATTTTTTCCCCTGTATATTTAAAAAAAAAAATGCTTATCCGCCAGTCTATATTATGAGAATTTTTTCATTCCATTTTCATACCATTTAGAATGAAACACACCGATGCCACCATTTTGATTATTTTATTGTCAGGGTCACACTCCCACGTAGAGTCTCAGACCTTGAAATGATGGGATTCCACGCTAAAGAACACATCGACTTACTGGATTTACTCAACAAACAGAACAACGAGGAAAATTACGAAGAAGAGAGTGAACAGTATGGTCTCAGTAAGCGTGTTTATTATCATTAGGTAATTTTCACATTATATTAAACCCAGAGTTTTTTAATTAAATAAAAAATTCATTGGTAAAGTGGACCGGTGATTCAATGAAATTCACTGTTACACACAAATATTTACTGGTCCATCAGTATATATACATATTAAAAATCCTGAAAATTGTTTTGATTCCTGTTAGGTATCGTAATCTACCAATATTTGTTGTATGTAACTATACATATTTATTGTCATCTGATTCATGAAGATGTTTTCCTTTTACTAAGTAAATAATTATTAAAATTAATAATAATGAATAATCTTTGTACAAGTAACATAAACAAAATCAGTTTATGGTTTAAAACTTTATTTACCCAGTCTTCCGATATTGTACATTTTTTACATCTTTACATAATTAATGCCTTGGGTTTTCTCTCCATTTTGTTGCGCAACCAATGACAAGGAAGTATTAACACATTTCATAGTAATAAGCAGTATTTTTAATCACAAACGGACACGATAAAATATTGTTTACATGTATTTGATTTTCTTCACTATACAACTCCTCCACTCAGCCACAAAGAGGTTGTCTCTGGTGTCTACACATAAACCCCATGGACAAAGTAGATCACAGTTATCATAGTAGCAGAGGAGCTGTCCATCCTGATCTAGGATGTGGATACAGCCATTGTTAAAGTCTGCTGTCAGGATCCGACTCTGGCTGTCTGTTGTTTTGCCACGTGGATAAAATGGTCCCTTGTTAGTAGAGGGATGACCAGTGTATCTAAATCGGAGTTTTCCTGCCTGATTAACAACCACTACCGCACGGCCTCCATTGTCAGCCACACAGATATCCAGGTTCCTGTTCTCACTGATGTATTTAATGTCATCAGGTGAATACAGAGGTTTACCTTTACCATCAAACGGAATGGTTTGTTTTTCTGTGGATCCAGAGTAACGGACAACCTTTAATTGTTCTCCATCATCACTGTTCATGATAACCAGGAGGTCACCAGAGGATGTACTACAGACACCGTGAGGTCTCCACCCTGTGATCTGCCCACTTCCTGTATCTGTTTATCCTTCACTATGTTTACAGTTCTTGTACCAGAGTCAGTATAAATTAGATCTCCACTCGTTGTCACTGCTATGTCACATGGTTTATTGCCAGACCTGGTTTGGATTGACTTCAGTAGTTTGCCCTGGAGGTTGTAGAGTTTCATGATTTTGTCTTGTCCACATGTCCAGAATTCTTTATCAATGAGACAGGTAACACTGTTTAGATACCTATTCCCTGTCCCAGTGTCTATGGTGGTGATAAGCTCTGGTTCATCAAGCAGTGGTTTGACTGGAGGACAGGATACAGCTTCGGGTATCTTCATTGTGTAGCCATGTTCTTCTTTTGTAATGAATAATGCTGACAGTGAACCAAACATTTGATGGAGCTGTTCTGTGTTGATCTGATGATGAGAGAAACTTGGAAATGGTACATTGACTTAAGGAGGTGAACTTCTGAATTCAGCATTTCTTGATTTGTACCCAGAGGTAAGGGAGACATCATTTGAATCC